ATTGAGGCAGTTCTGAAGGCAAAAGGGGGTCCAACCCGTTACTAGCATGGGGTACCTAATAAAGTGGCCGGTGAGTGTATATATGGTGCAAAATCCTTGGTCATCTTTACCGTCGACAGGCTGCAGCCATGTCCCGAATTCCTCGTTTTTCATCCATGTTCGTTGAAATTAGCATTTTCCCCATTCTCTGGCTTTTTCTCCGCCTCTAGCTTCTTTTCCGAACATACGGCTTTACGATAAACCAGAAGCGGTTCCACACAATTATATTGCCATATTTTTGACAAAAGTGTTTTAGTAAACTTTTTTTTTTTTTTAAATAAAGCATTTCAAATGCCACGATAATCACATTTGATGAATTTTAATGGCAATTAACTTAATTTAAAAGTAATAATAATTTAGTGACATCGAATTATTTAAAATGACCTGCGGAAAACCTATAAAACAATAAAACATGAAGCAGCTCTGGTGACATCATCAATGCTAACCCAGCGCGGTGCCGTCATTGCGGGGGGACAGACGCCACACACGGGTTAGATCCAGCTTTTTTTCCAGTGGGAATGGAGGCAAATGCTGAGTGTTAACAGGTCGACCCATGTTTGAAAAACACGCATAAACCAAGTATTTTCGGTGGGAAAGAGGCAGCTAGCCAACTTGAAATGCATTACCGCTACCTAAAGGGCTTTTGTTAAAGGTAATGTGACCAAAACTGGGTTAGAGATTACATAAAAAATATAACGAACTGTTCAGAGCGGAACCAACTTTGTGTGGTTACACGTTTCATGCTCTGAAACGAGCATAAAGGCTAAAGAAAACAGCTGGTGTTTAAAAGTCAGCAGCTGTTTGGTATGGAAAAAGGAGAGATTAAGAGAAAGGAATGATAAGGAGGAAGTTATAAAGAAAATAAAGGAAAGACCTGGAAAAATGTATTTTGTTTTTTCCAACCAAGTTCCCCTGATACATTTTAGCTTCTTGCAGAAATAACATTCTGCCTTGACCTTTATCTTTAGTGTCTTATCATGTTATGTTGCAAAACCTCCAACAGAAGGATCAATCTTATCAGTGCAGCCTGCAGGCGGAGCTCTACCTGTCCACAGGCGATGTAGATGGCAGCTACGATGTTTGCAGCGTGAGCGTTGAAGCCTCCAATGCTCCCGGCCATGGCTGAGCCCACCAGGTTCTTACTGATGTTCAGATCCACCAGAGCCGCCGTGCTGCTCTTCAACACCTAACAAAACATTTAAAGCAGCTATTAGGAAAACATCTGGACAGAGCATTGGCTGAAATGAGCTTTGCTTCCTTCCTGTTTGATCTGATCCATAGGTGGACTCTTTACCTCCTTGACTACTTTGGCAGGGATGGTGGCTTCACACACTGCAGACTTCCCCCGGCCTAAGATCCAGTTAATAGCAGCAGACTTCTTGTCGGTGCAATAGTTGCCGCTGACGGACAGAACCTCAATGTCTGGAAAGTGCTGCTTTAATCGAGACAGAGCCTGCTCCGTCCCCTGATGAAAACAGAGCAAACAGACACGTCTTCATTTGGGAACCACAGCATACAAAAACAATCCCGGTTCAATACCTTTGTTTTTCTATACACTGCACATCAATCTGAACACACACTGCTGAAAAGACTGGGAGAATGAGGTGGAGGTTTGGAGTAAGGCTGGTTTATGCTCTAAGGAACCAGGTCGTCTGAATGTGTGTCGCAGTTAAAGCAGAAAGGCCCCGCCCCTTCTGCAGACACTCTGCTGCACCTCAAAAAATTGACTGCATACAGTCGGCTTGTTTTGTTTGTATGACCGCTATTGTGGAAAATGACTCGCTAGAAGAGCGAGGTGTGCGAGAACGCTGGGACCCTTTTTTCCGCCTGGATCCCCGCTCTTCCTCGCCCTCATGTCCCTAGGTTGTCGCACAAACTCGCCCCACTTCCTCACCGCCTCGGCCGTATCTAGACCAACAGCTAGTTCCTGATTGTCCCTCTTGCGTTGTAGCGTGGATCAACATAGCACAGACAATTCTTCAATATTGGGCATAAATCAGAAATATCTGGGACAAGCTCACTGCGACACGGCTGTGGGGAGGATAACCAGCCCTGTAGGCCGCCATTCGGCTGGCGTTTGACTGGGAAGGGCGACTTTTAATGGCTGCTGCTGTATCGCTAACAGAGCTATAAGAGGAACCAGCAATGTTTGCATGGTTTTCCTTTTCATTAAAGTTGACTGGATTCTTTCCACCTTAACAGAAAAATACTTCAGACAACCTTAAGATGTTGTGTGATTTGTTTGGCTCATTTGTTTTGCATTATTCAACAAGCATCTTGTGATTCTGTTGAGAAGCATGTTGAGACGGATAAAAATAGCTTTTATGTTCATGTTTTTATCCCAATAGTCTTGGAAAGGGTTTCAAGTTTGATATGCTAGCATCAATCATCCCTCTGCAACTGAGATGATCTTCTCTTCTTAGTTTCCATGTTTGCAGGATGTTGAAAATCCCAAATGTTGTGTTTTGGTAAACCTAGGATCTGTGTTACGATTGGTTGAGAAATCGGGGTGCAACAGTTCCCGACCGTACCTCTTGGTGTGGAAGGAGAAAAGCTCGACTGCGGCACTGAAAAATGATTTTAGACCATTTTACAGTAAATCTCTAACTTTTTTTCTCCTTTTAAGTTAAAAGAAAAAACCCTCACTTCATTTCACATATGAATAAAAAACCTTAAAAGTGCTGTTGAAAAGTTCAGAGGGGGGTGAACACTTAAATAATGGAATGTTGTGAGGTAGTGATGCTAAAGCAGAGGCTCAGCCATGCTGAGTGTTTGGGTTTACCTTAGACAGCATGTTCATGCCCATGGCGTCCCCCGTCTGAGACTGGAAGCGAACATAAAGGTTTCTTCCAGCCACAGACACCAACAGCTTCTCCAGACGAGCAAACCTGCAAAGAGCAAACAATTATTTTTATCTCTATGCTCAGATGAAAGAAACTCAATTCCTCCATTTTTTTTTTCTTGGTCCTGCTGCTTCCATCTCTCTTTCTCACCTGCTGGTTTCATCGAAGGCTTCTTTGACCATGCTGAATCCATCCGAGGTCTCCAGCCAGATTTTGACCTCTGCAGCCCGGCATGCAGAGGGCAGCCTCACCACAGGACCCCTGGTCATGCTGTCGGCCAGGATCCTGCTGTTGCAGCCTCCGCTCAGCTGCACAGGAAGGACGCCACTGTCAGCACACGCCTCACACTCAAAACCAGGGTTTGTTTCACCAGGGAGGGGTCCTGCTTACCCAGATCGCCCTGCAGCCTCTGTTTGTGCTGGCCACCAGGCAGCCCTCGGTGGTCGCCATGGGGACGTGGAACTGCTGCTTGTCCAAAAGCAGAGGGCCAGCCACTCCCACTGGCACCGGCATGTAGCCGATGACATTCTCACAGCAGGCGCCCATCACCTACAGAACAAGGACACACAATGATACACGGAGCGGCAGCTGAGGAAACATTTTATATGCCGAGATAGAAACACAGGAGGTAGATTAGATCCGATACTGAGGAGGAAAGTTACTTTGAGTACGAGGTCATCCAAAAATACCTTTGAATAGTCGTAGTCTTTGTAGGGGAGATAAGCCAGAGCAGAGCTGACGGGCAGTTTACTCGATAACATTTCCCGCCTAATGGCCACGCCCCTTTCTGGAGTCTCCAGGACTCCTTCCAGTTTGTAGTTCTGGATCTTAGACAAGCTCACCAGGTTCATCACCTCGGCATCCGTCAGCATTTTCGGACCTCTCTGGGAAATTCATCATAAAAAACGTTGTTTTGTCATCAAACAGATTTATTAGAAAAACAGGATTAAAGTCATTAAAGTCGTCGTTTTAACCGTGGCAGTCCCGAATTCTCCTGAGTGGTTCACGACTTTACACGAGCAAATAAAGCGAATGTGATTGGTCGTTTATCAAGAGGGCAGGATTGTTGTGGCGGAAGTTTCACAAGCAAGTTTAATTGTGGCCGATTTATTGGAAGCATCTTACTAACCAGTTAGCAACTTAGTGCTAGTAGGTTCCCAA